TAATTGCCAAATAAGCGGAGATTAAGTTGTTTAGTTACAACTTTCGATATTTTCGATGTGCGAAAAATCGAATATCGAACATCGATATTTTTGAAATATCGATATTTATCGAAAATATCGATATATCGCAACTGCCTAACGAAAAGTACATGATATTTTTATTTCTTGCTTGGTAAATTTATGTCTTGTTATGTCTCAAATATGTAATATTAAATGATAATTTAAAATCACCAAACATGATAAAATACTTTCTTTATTAAAATGCTGTAAAAGTCCGTTCTGCGCATCAGTTCTGCTCATAACAAAGGGTGATCTGCAGATATAAACATTGCCCAAAATTTGCATCTTTCGAACTTTTTTGAATTGAAACGCAGAGTTTATATGCATTTACATGCATAGTGAACCAGAAAAGTGTTAGATATTCAGTTAGTATATTATCATATTTTGTATAGTAGTTCAAAAATGTAAACAAAACGTTTGGGTTTGTTTACATATAAATAAACAAATGTAAAATGGTGTTCCAAAGTCGTATATAAATTCTAACAAAGGAAAAATACTTATAGGCATGGGATTTACCTAAACCTGTGAACTGGGTATAGCAACGAGATGTATAAAACAACGTTAGTCAAAATTGTCAACTATTCTACCGAAGTACAGCTATTTAATAAAATAGCTTCCAGAGAAGAACTTTAAACTAAAAAATATTACCGAAAACCTTTTAAAAACTTACCATTAACACAGGCTGCTCTTTCATTCAAGCGTTGTCTCATTATCCTAGTCGAACCAGTACAGCGATGTGGCGAAATTTCCGGCCGTCTTTCACAACAAAATGAACAAATATTATTAAACATATCACACAAGTCAATAACTGCACGTATTTTTCTCTTTACTACAGAATCGTTTTCCCTGTCCATTGAGTTATAATTTCCAAAGCTAACCAGTCGCTTATAACGTAAAATAAGCGGGTATTTGTGAACAAAAATGCCCTTTGATGATACGAATTCACGTAGTATAAACCGGCGCCATGTTGTCTTCTCCAAACATTACAAATTTTTCCGCCAAAATTGGGGGGGGGGGGCAAATGGGAAAAAAAATTCGCGACAACAAACCCCCCCTCAAAATATCTAATGGTCCGTCCCTAAGTGAAAAACGTCACTTGCTTAAGTTCACTATTCCCCCTGGACGTCCGCCATTTTGAATAATATCAGGGGGGTGAATGCCTCTCAAACGCGCACTGGCTGCGACCATGGCGTCAGCATTTGATGACGAATTACGGGTTACGCCAAAATCATAGGAAAATGATAGGAAAAACAAAGAAGTTGGCCTTCTGTGTACCTTATTCTGTGGTGAAGTCCCGTATGAACCTGACGTCACAGATGTCATGCGCGGGGGGACCACTGGGGGAATACCATATTTGGTGGTAAAATATTCAATAATACCATAATACGCACTAAATCCAATTTTAATCTCTTTCCCCTCGCTATTTTCGTTTTCCACATATTGTTCAACCCAACCACAATTGTAATACAACAAATATTCAGTTCCATCAGTTTATAGAAATATGCTCAGGGACGCCGGAACGATAAAAAGGCAAAGGGGGGCAGACGCACACCAAGGGCACCTCTATAGATCAAAATAAGTTCAAAATCTACCTGAAAAATATTTTTTTACATGGAAATTTTTAAGTATCACTGGAAATCTGATTTATCACGTACTATTTTACAACTAAAAGGGCACTTCTGCCCCCTCTGCCGCCCCCCTAGCAAAAGGCAAGAGGGGCAGCCGCCGCCCCCTGCCCCCCTCCCAGTTCCGGCGTCCCTGAATATGCTTTTCGGGCGAACATCAGGAAAATCCGAAGTTGTCTCAGCCACTGAGCTGTATACGGAACCGGATGCATGTGTCTGTCTAATACTCACTCTGTTTTCTGTTTTTCATCACGTAGCCTATTGCGCCTGATTATTAAAGGTGATCTACAGTCTGATCTGCGCATGTGCACAAATGAGCCCACTTTTTATGATACAAACAGTTTAACTATGTTTTGAGTTCTTGAAAAGCCTGATTGTTGTTTCTTGATCATTTATTATACTCTAGAA